CTAATAACGTAGCCCTGGTGCAGGCTGGCAGTGAGGGGGAGGGGATGGGACTCGCAGGTGTGTTCTTGAGGCAGGAGGCTTCACGGTGCTACTCCTGGGAGGGGGCAGCTATGTTTAAAACCCCAATTTCCCTCCAATTCAGTAATGTGACACAGGCAGTAAATTAAAGCTATGTGGGGCTCCAGAAAGGAAACGCTTCTCGAGTCGCATTGTTGGGGCCAAAGATTTTAATTCATTTCTGAGGCTGGCTCAAGCTGAGACTGGCACGTGGAGTAACAGCTCCCGTCCCACAGCCGCATGGCTCCATTACTTCCTGCCCATGTCAGTACAGGGGAAGAAATAGACAGGCACTTGGTTCCTCCCATCTACTTGCGGGCCGGGGTAGCTGACCCATGTTGTGGGCAGGGGCTAATAACGTAGCCCTGGTGCAGGCCGGCAGTGAGGGGAAGGGGATGGGACCTGCAGGTGTGTTCTTGAGGCAGGAAGCTTCACGGTGCTACTCCTGTGTTTTTCTCCAGTACCATCTGAGGTGGGTGCCAAAGGGCACTGGCAAGCTAAGGTGGTTCTGGCTCTCTCCCTTTTTGACAGGTGGGGAAACTGAGGCACAGAACAGCCAGGTGACAGGTTTGGGCACAGAACCCCGATTCACTCACTCTGCATGAGCCATTACACAATGACCTGGGGGACACATTCCACTACTTGCTGCAGGGAAAATAAATTCTTTGTTCCCACAACTACATATTGCGTGAGGAGAAATCTCAATTCCAGTTAACTCAGGCAGCGACAGCAGCTGCACCGTTTGCTGAAGAAACCCTCCATTTGTCTACATGGCAACTAGCTCATTAAGCTAATAAAATAGTGTTAAGGCACCAGAGGCCTATGCAAATATTGATTTGACTTCTCCCGCGCTGTCTCAACACATTCCTATTCGCTCTCGCACATACAAAGCACGCTCGGTTTGCACTAGTGCTCACTATTGCTACGCCCAGAGACACACTTACGAAGGGACCCCCAGAAAGCTGGGAAATGGACAAACAGTCCCATGTTGTCCATCTACAAGACCATCCCACCCTCTCTGACCGTCCCAACATCGAGTTATTATTAATTGTATTGACATATTGCCTAAGGGTCCCAACCATTAATCTGGTCCCCTGTGTGCTAGGCGCTGGACAAACAGATCAAAAGAAAGTCCCTGCCCCAAGGAGCTTACAATCTAAGCCAAACAAGAGGTGGATACACACAGAGCAAGGTGGGAGCACGAGGAAACAACGAGGCAGTATTCATCAGCATAAGAGCACACCGTTTCTACAGTCCATGCGCTCTTTCTACAGCAGCTTTCATCTGGCAGACCGGATCCAACCTATGGGCCAGTATTTGCCCTACTTGTTCTTCATTTCTGGTGCTGGCAAGGAGTTCAGGTGATTTACCTTCTCTGATGTCAACACTTAAAACAAAACCATTTAGAGCCTCCTCCAACGCCCATTGGATTCACTGGATGTCTTTCTTTCCATTGACTGTAAAGGGCATTGCATCAGGCCCTTCGTACCAAATGTCTTTCAGCAGATGGGCCAGGGACAGATCCTCAGCTGATGGAAACGGGTCTTGCTTCAATAGAGCAATGGGCAAGAGCTCTGCTGGAGAGGATGGAAATTTTGCCCTTGTCCTCTTCTGTCAAAGCGTCTCTTCCGGCTCTTTCAGGAACTCTCCGAAATCTTGCTCTGAACAAGGCCAGGAAGGAGTAGACCATAGCCATGTGGCCTCGCTGTGGATGAATGTAATGCTTCCTCCCTGGCTCAGTGGGTGGGAATGGCTGACAGGTGCAGCAATCTGTCCTGGGAAATCAAAGCAGTGAAGAGTGCTTCTGCATTTGCATGGCAACCCCCAAAATAAGTAAACCTTCTCTCAGTCCACATTACCTGTACGTGCTTAGCTTTGACTTGCAACAATTAGATGGGAAAGATTTGCAAATCCATGCTCTGCACAGGCATTGGGATTCACAGTTGTTTTGTTTTGCAAACCTACACACTGCCCTTCATCCCAATAAAATTATCCGGGGTGTAACGTTCTCACCCACCATCAGGCTCCTTGACATGGCCAGTGTGGTCCTACAAGATCTAGTGTACCTGTAAATCAAACCCCTTTTACTAATCTGTGGGGATGTATTGGAATCCCTCTAGGGAACTACTCATGAAACGAGCAAGTGCTGTAGCTTTGTTACTCTGGGACCCCAGCTAGTTAGAGCAATGCAAGCGTGGGTCTGTCTCCAGGAGCTGCAATCACACGGCCTGACTGCAGCACATCCGGAAAGCAGCCTGAAAACTCAACGGGAAGACCATCATTGCTTTAGCTTTGATCTTTTCGGCATCTCCCCCCTCCGCAGAGAAATACCACAACTCCCCTTGGTAGATTACCCTGCAAGGCATGCGTGTGCTGTTATAATCTTGACACAGGAACTCAAATCAGCAACTAACACTCCGTATGGGAACGGCTACTCTTCGTTGGGCCTGTATCAGCAGCCCTTACACAGGGTGAGTAGCGGTGACTGCTGGCAATATGACCTGATTCTTACACAAGCATGCCTAAGCAACTACTCTGCTAGTGGATGGGGGCAAAATTCCCTTGATACCAGCGAACCTGCATGCATTTGCTCCTGCAGATACCTGGGCCCAGCTTGAGTAAAGACGGCAGAAAGGGGCATGTGCGGCTAAAAGTTCAAGGTACAGTCAGGGAATTGTTCTCTAAGGGTACGTCTAAGCTACATGGAGCCATGTAGATTTGTTTGTTCGGCAAAGGGAAATGAAGCTGCGATTTAAATAATCGCGGCTTCATTTAAATTTAAATGGCTGCCCCGCTCTGCCGATCAGCTATTTGTTGGCAGATCGGGGCAGTCTGGACGCTCCCCTGCCGACATGAAAGCCCTTTATCATCGACCTCCCCAGTAAACCTCATCCTACGAGGCATAACTGGGAGGTTGATAAAGGGCTTTCAGGTCGGCGCGGGAGTGTCCAGACTAGCATGCTGAGCCGACAAACAGCTGATCGGCAGAGCGGGGCAGCCATTTAAATTTAAATGAAGCCGTAATTATTTAAATCGCGGCTTCATTTCCCTTTGCCGAACAAACAAATCTACATGGCTCCGTCGATGGAGCCATGTAGTTTAGACTCTTTAGTAACAGTGCACTGGAGCTACTAGCCCTAACGGTGTATTTACACTGGTCTAAGACAGACCAGTGTTTGGCTCCAACAGTTCAGCCCTTTTGAAGGTCACATGGAGGGTTTTGATGAATAAACACTCAGAATCAGTGGGCAAACCTCTAACAGTTGGGCTCAAATCACACCCGTGAATCACCCAGCTGAGTTTTACAGACCCATGAGATTCAGAGAGCTGGAGAAGCTTCTGTACTTTTGGATGCTTATTTGAGCAGATCTGTTAGCTATTTGGCTGGTCTCCATTCTGCAGGAAGGCAGACTGCTTCAAATAGCCACGTACTGATTGAAATTCCCCATGAAAACAGGACCATTTTGCATTCGGAAGGAGACGAATAACCTAATGTGGCTGTTAGGGATGTAACCAGTTAACTAGGTCAGTGTTTCTCAACCTTTTGTTATAAATTACCCCCTTTTTAAATATATATTACTCCCAGTAACTACAGTTTTCAGACACGCACATTTTTTTTTCTACCATTGCAACACGTTTGTTTAAACAACTTAATCGGAGCTGGGTGGGCGATGAAATTTTTGGGTGTAAAAAGTACAAAAATAATAAAGCGCTGTAAAACGTAAAACAAAAATTCAGTTTTCTCCAGATTTCAGTTGTGTTGACGTACCTCCCAGACTTCTCTCTAGTACCCCTGAGGGTACTTGTACCACTGGTTGAGAAACACTGAACTAGTTGACCGGTAAGCATCACCCTTATTGGGTGATGCTTAGCAGTAACCAGTTAACTGGGAAGGGGGAAGGAGGGGAGGCGGGAGCTACTCCAGCCCGGCCAGGCCCACCACGCTGTGGACAGGGGTCTGCTTCAGCCCAGCTGGGACTGCTGCACCATGCCTGTGGGATCCTGGTCAATGTAATGTTTAATGAGTTAACTGTTTGAATGAGAATTTCCATCCCTAATGGATGTGACCTCATTAACCTCTCCAAAGGGGCAAGTATCTTTTCCAGTCACTCCCAGGAAGCAGCACAATTTCTTCATGGTCCACGCAGCTCATTCCCTGAAATCAAGCTAAGAATCCAGGGAAGGAGCAAGCCACAGCATTTCACTGGCTAAAACAGTCCCTGCCTTTTCCCACACCATGTTCGAACTTTAAAGCAGCCCTGCTCACAACAGAGAAGACACCGGGGTTGAAGCGAGCAGGGAGGTGTGTGGGCCGAAAGATCAAATGTACCAGGAAAGTCCTCTGAGCTGCACAAATCCGAGGAGGAAAAATGCAGCTCATGCCAGCTGTGTCATTGCTAACCTGAAAAGAACCAGTCACCCAGATGCTGGAAGATGTTTTTTTCTAGGGTGAGAGAGGATATTTTATAACCTGTTTTCGTCTTACGTCTCTGAAACTGAGTGTGATGAGAGCAATTGTGCACAGCAATGGGTCATCATCTAGCAATACTCGTTAGGGATGTGATGCAGTGGGAATACCCTGAGAATGGAGGAATTTCCTAGGCTTTTGAAGGGCCCTTTAGCCATAAATTTAAGTGGGCTCTCATTGCCCAAGATTTTTTGTTGTTTTGCATTTCCCTTGCGTAGACCCTCACTAACACTCAGACCAATGTTCCCGGTAATCTTTTCCATCCATGTGCAGAATTTTTCTGCCCATGTGTGGAATAATTTTATGTGCACGGAGGCATGTGGAAATGTGCACCACCAACAGAAACAAAACTTAGCTGTGCTGATCAGCTGGGCAACATTTGAACCCTCCTGAGTGGTTACACAAGGGCACAGCTTACAGGAAAAACTGACTCACCCCATTTTCTATTCCTCCCCAACCTAAAAAGACATCTTGGTCAATAGAAACCAACCCAGAATTGTGTTTATTATTGAAAATATACAATATTTCTGAACATCACATAAAAAGCCTAGTAGATACGTCTGCTCTAGATCAAAACGCAAAAGAGATACTTGCTGTGCAGCACTTTGCACATTCTTCGCAACACACACATCATCACCGTCGCCATCAGTCAGTATTTTGTACACAGTTTCCCTTTTAATTTATTATTCTGAAACCCAAGCCACACAGCTGAGCCTGAACCAATCCTCCACTGTCCTTTTCCTTGCCACCGGGGAAAATAAAGACACCCAGTGGCTGCTAGAACAGTTTCAAAACTATTCGGCTAAGCAGAGATGAAACACAATAATCTAGAGAGCTCCAGAGACACCGCTGAGTCTGTCAGTTTCAAAACCTTGTGTGCGAACAAGGCCGGGCACCAGTAAGACAAACAGCCGGCTGTTAAATAGTTCAGTGATCTCTGTCCAGCAGAGGAAGCAGAGGAGAAGATGCACACACCTCAATCCTTCCCCTCCCTCCCAGACCTCCTTTTGCCTGCTGCCTTGCTCACTAGGCGAGATTTTTACCAGGCTCAAAGAAGGAGACAGACAAACGGTTGAAATCATTGAGTGCTGAAGTGTGGAATGAGATTTCGTCAAAACAGTCTCCTTAACCACAATCCTTAGAGAAAAACAAAATCGATCGTTCCTTCCACCAAGCTGCGTTCCCCATTGTCACTCGATGCTGACACTCGCCAAATGGGGCCACCAGTTTTAAATCCCATTCGTCCTGCTCCCTCTCCGGCCTCCCGCCCACCCCTCCTGTGCTCCTCCGTTAGAGTTGTGGCTGGTTGCCTTAAAAGCAGCGTCGTACAGAAATGGAGAAATGTCCACCGAGACAAAAGGGGGTGCCTCGCTGTAAGAAGAGCGCACCGTGCTGAGAAAAGGAGGAGGAGAGACAGACAAAGAGGGGACTCGGGAAAAAGGCGGAAGGTGGCTGGACTGCTGCGTGGTCAAACGGCGGCCGTCTGTTTGATGCTGTGGAAGCTGATTCTCGTCGGGGAGGTGGGGATCGACATGGCCCGGGCCACGCCAGCGGTGCCAGCGTTTCCTCGCGGCCGAGCGGACCTGAAAGGAGAGAAGGAAGGGGGAGAGGATTAGGGAGGAACCTGGATTCCCCCCTTAAAAGGACGCTGCCCACTTGAAATCCAGTCAGTTTTTAAAAAAAAGGGGTCGTGGGTTCTGCTGTGACCCATTGTCTCCTTGGCTAATGTTGGGGGTTTTACAGTCTCGCTGACGTGCTGCAGCAGCCCCTCGCGGCAGGACCGGACCCCCCCAACCGGGGCCCCTCGCAGCAATACCGGAGCCCCTCGCCGTTATGGCTGAGATTCTGTCACGGATAAAGTCACAGACAGGTCACGGACAAGAAGGAAAAAGTCACAGAAGCCCGTGACCTGTCCGTGACTTTTACTAAACTCTCTGTGACAAAATTGGGAGGAGCAGGCACCCACCCTTGCTGCTCAGGCTCTGGGGGACCCTGCTACCTGCAGCAATGGGGCAGCTGTGGGGGCCCTGGCTAGGAGCTCTGGGGATCCCCCACTGCGCATTGCTCAGAGCTGCAGGGTCTTTCTGCCACCTATAGCTTGGAGCTCTGGGGGTCCCTGCTTCCCACAGCAGTTGGGGGGCTCTTCCCCACACAGTGGCTCAGAGCCTGCCACTCGTAGCAGAGAGCAGCTGTGGGGTCCCCAGAGTGACTCAGAGCTCTGGGGGGGCTCTCCCATGAGGGTGTGGGGGCCCTCATTGCAGCTGGCAGGGGGCTCCAAGCTACTGCGGTGACAGGGGACCCTACAGCCCCACACCGCCACAGGCCGAAGTCACGGAAGTTCCCTGGAAGTCTGGCTTCTGTGACTTCCACAACCCGCATGACAAAATCATAGCCTTGCTCATAATCTCCAGCGGATGTCTCCCCACAGAGCGCCGGCGCAGAGGGCAGTGCACAGACAGGGAACTCAGGCCTGCAGTGTGGTACGTGGCACGTCCCAGCTCACACACAAAGTCTGGCTGGCCTAGGTGTATCTATGCTTTCCTACTGCTGGGTGGGAAGGTCACACGCACGACAAGGGCAACTGACTGAGTCTCCATCCGTACAGCAGCCTGGCTGAACGGAAAGGGGGACTCGCAACACAGAAGGGCGCTCAAATATGCCGAGCAGGCAAACTGACAGGATGGCGATGTCTCGGCCTTCTAAATCCTTTCAGCTATACCCCCTTAGCTGAGTCAAGGAATCACAGAACACTAGGACTGAAGGGACCTCGAGACGCCATTGAGTCCAGTCCCCTGCCCTCAAGGCAGGACAAAGCACCATCTAGACCATCTCTGATAGATGTCTATGTAACCTGCTCTTAAATATCTCCAGTGATGGAGATTCCACAACCTCCCTGGGCAACTTATTCCAGTGTTTAACCACCTTGACAGTTAGGAACTTTTTCCTAAAGTCCAACCTAAACTTTCCTTGCTGTAGTTTAAGCCCATTGCTTCTTGTCCTATTCTCAGAGGCCAAGGAGAACAATTTCTCTCCCTCCTCCTTATAATGCCCTTTTAGATACTGGAAATTATTTCTCGTGTCTTGAAGGGGAAAGATGGAGGTGCGGTTATGGCACTGGGCTGGCACTGAAGAGATCTGGGGTGAGTCCTAAGCTGTGACTCGTGAAGGGGACTTTAAAGCCAACCTCGTCCCCTCCTGAACCTTAGCTGCCCTGCGGCTCCTGGAATGGCTTAGAGAGCTCTGGGGCCCTCCCAGGGCGGCTGTCTTATGAGCTGCCGTGCTGCCAGGAAACTCCGCAGAGGGGTGGCCCTTCGTCGGACACCCTCTCCCACCACCAGCTTGGCCCTGGTGCCCTTCCCACGAGGGCTCATGTGTGGGTAGGGGGAAGGCTGTGGCTCAAGCAGGGAGCAGGGAGGGGTATTTCCCCCCTTTTGGTTTTAGGTGAACACACACTATGAAGAGCTGAGCATCCCCCTCCATGAGGTGTTAGAGAGCAGGCTGGACAAACACCCGTGAGGAATGGCCTCGACTGCCTTGGTCCTGCCTCAGGGCAGGGCGCCGGACTGGATGCCCTCTCCAGGGCCCTTCTAGCCCTGCCTGCCTGTGATGTTGGATGACACCCCAACATGCAGAATCGAAGGGGTTCTGGGTAGGCGGGAAGTGACGGTGGGTTTCCCCCTCCCTTTCTTTCGCAGCACGTGCTTTGCACATACCATACTCACGCCCAGACATTTCACCAGAGGCTGAGGTTTCACGAGGGAGGCGTGAAAACCACCCTGTGCAGGGGGCCAAAAAAAAAATCCCTCCCAATCAGGGAATTTCCTCTCCCCTCCCCCAGCCCCGTGACAGAGAAGGATGCTCATGGGGCTGCATGGCTAACTCCCTGGCAGACAGCTTGGCAGTCCTGACATAACTCATGCAGCCCAGATGCTCTTGGAGCACCACTTTGCTGGAGCATGGAAACGAGCAGCTATTTAATAGCCCCTGGATGCCTCTGTGCCATTTGTTTTGACCAGCTATTTACCTGGCTAACGAGGCCGGATTAGACTGATGAGGGGAGCTGCAAGCCAGGCCAGGCAAAGGGAGGGAGCTGGAGACGAAGACGTGCGTCTCAGCAAGCAGGGGGCTACATGCTGCCTTTGCTGCAGACGTGTGAGAAAGGCCGTACCGAGCTGCGCCTTACGGGCCCTGCCAGCGTAAATAGGCTGCACACTTGAGGAGAGGAGCTGACACCCACTGGGCAATGCCACTCGGAAGCCGACCGTGCCCAGCCTGGGCGAGAGGCACAAGGCAAAGCAGATATGGTGCCTCTGAGCATCACCAGGCCTAATTTTTGTACAATCACTGGGATTCACAACACCTCAACTCCCTATACCATGAATGGGGAGAGACGGCGCCTCCAAATGGGATCCATAAAAGCCAGCGCTCTAGGCAGGGAGCTGTCTCAACTAGCCAAGGGAGGGCTACATGATAACCCCCCTCAGCACCTGAAGCTTGGGCTGCTACAAGAGGGTGTCCCTTTCAGCCCAGTGGTTGTCGAGGGAGACCCATGGGTCAAATTCCCCCCCTCCCCCAGCACCTGAGGGGAAGTAGGGATGTGAGTTGGGTTCTGCCCCCTCTCTCTGGGCTAAGGGATATCCTGACATACCTCCCTCTCACCTGTGGAAGCTGTTCCACTTTGGATTATTAAAAAATGTCACTGGAGGAAGGCTGGATTCTGGGCCTCATGGCTCTGGGGGAGCCCCGCCCGACAGCCTACAAAATCACACTCTCCCGCTCCCCCCACACTTCGTGATTTATACTGCACGGAAGAAGGAGGGCTTCCCACAGCCCAAGCACACACGGGCGAGAGCCCTGTTCAGACCCATTCTCCTCAGGCACTGGTGGGACTTGACCTGGGGTCTCCCACAGGCCAGGTGACTGATGTAACCACTGGCCTGAAGTTATGAGGTAGGTACCAGCTCCTTCTTCATGGCCATTTTGTGTCAGCTCACCTTCTAGGGGCTTGATCCAGGGAGTGAGGTCCGAACACTTCTAGGAGATCCAGCCCCACAGGTGAGTTAGGCTAGGCAAGGAACATTTGTTTTCCCTCAGGCCGTGTGTTGTACTTGGGCTTAGGCCTCCAACCATCTGGCATGAGATAGCTATGTGCTTGCTCGGAGGGGAAACAGACACCTAGGGAGCTTTTGCTGCAAAAATGTAGGCACCACACGAGGAACCGATGGCATTTGGGGGCAGCTGAGAGGGGTCTTTCACATCTCAGTGGGGCCTGATTCTGGGATTTAGGCACTGAAAGTGGGAGCTAGGCATTTTAATCCTATAGCGAATCTAGCCCAATGTGTCTACAGCCCCAGCAGAAAAATCAAATTCTCAATTTACCTCTGCTCCCAACGCTCAAAACAAACTCTGGCATGTGCTTAGCTAAATCTGGACTTTTGTACAGAGCACTTCAGGGAAAAAATAGCTGGATCAGGTATAGCAGAATGTTAAAAAAGACCCCCCACTAATACAGCCCATGGGGAGATAGCAAGGGAAAAAAATAGCACCAACATTTAAAAATAATCGGCTTGACATCTGAAGTGATCGCTTTACGACAGATGTTGTACCTATGTATTAAGCATTTCTGGAGTCAATCATTGGCTCTTAGCAACAGTTTTAGGATATCGATGACCCGAAATTCATAACACTAGCCTATCATGGCACATGGATGCATAAAGACACAGACACCAGCATCAACGGCTGAAGAAACAGCAGGAGAAATAAAAATTGCCACTTTTGTCTCTATAAGCGTCAGTCACTTGAGGTAGCAGAGGTTGTGTGCGCTAGTGGATCACATAGTTCTGGTCTCTAAGCTGCAACTGTTTGGACAAACCATTTGTTTCAAACAATTTATTTATGTGATTTGACTCTGCCCTTTGCAAATTGCAAACTGATTATGTTCAGTACCTGGAATAGGCGGTCAAATAATATTTACCAGCACATTTGGGCCTATAGGTTATCATGGACTGTTTTTTGGGAGTAGTTCGCTAATTGCTTTATAGAATCTGGACTAAGGGATTGGTCATGGAAGTCACCTGGTTATGGTTTCTGATTCCTGGTTGAATCAGAAAAACCTGTTGAGAGTCTATTGGTTAAGTTTAAAGGAGCAAACAACAGCCTTGATGTTGTGGTTGGTGTTTGCTACAGGCCACCGATGGATCACATCTTATTAGAGAGACTCCTGTGGGCACCTCAGTTTCCACGACCAGCCATAAGGATCATCAAAGGGAAGAGAGAGGGATAAAACCCACACCACTCTCCCTTGACCACAGTAGTCAGCAAATGTATGTTAGCCATTAAGTAGAAGTGTGTGCTAAGGAAGACGTGGAAAGGAAAGCGGGAAGGCAATACTCTTAAATAATAATAAAGTCAATAAAAGGCCAGGAAGGGCCTTGGGTTGAAGACATGAAGCTGGAACATGATCTGGCAGAATAGAGGGAGCAAATGGATGTATTCAAAGAAAGGGAAGTGTGGTTAGACCAATGGGAGAAGATCTTGGCAGCTGCATTTCATACCGATAAAAGGGAGGTGATGTAGGAATTGG